CATGGTGATAATAGCATCATATTGTGATAATGCTTTTGATCAGCAGGTACTTGGGAACTGCACAGGAGTAAAGGTTAGCTCGAGGAAGTCAAATAGAGCAGTTGTAGAATAAAACCTGCTTAAATGTGCAAGACTGAGACTGGGGTCGAGGTTCACCTTCCAGCAGGACAGTACAGATTTGTCCAAGAAGATCTAGAACTTGCAGTCAAATGTAGTTCTAGCAGATTTTAACAGGGTGAAGGGTTGCCTTAAGGTGCCCATACACCTTACAATTATCTGCAGATTTTCTGTGGTCTGATGGAAAAAGTGCAACAGATAGGCCCAGGTGGGATCACTCCATCCACACAGTTAAGTGTCGATGGAGGAATCTGTTGCACCTTTTCCATCCGACCACAGACAATCTGCAGATAATTGTAAGGTGTATGGCCAGCTTTAGATGTTCACTCTCTTGAAGAACTACAGTGGCTAAAGAATCTTCTGCATCTGATAACCTTCCTGCGGTACAGTAAACTAAAGTGATGTAGCAGCCAGCAGGTATAAACACAGTGCGCAGTGGTGGACCAGGCATATGACACACCCAGAAGTATGTTGGATGTTATAGGTTCTTCAGCTGATTTTGCTTTGCGAGAGAATGAAGAATTGAGGCACATGCAGCAGGACATGTAAATATTTTAGCTCTTTTACATTTCTTTTTTTTGTGTGCGACTCGAACAGCAAATACCCAAAATAAATGTTATTTCCACAATGTGGAAAGTGCAAATTGGTGTATACTTGTACAGAGTATTGTTTTTTCAGGTATGCTTGGAGATTTTAGTAAGTGACACTAAAAGGTTTTGTTACTTTGAAATGCTGCTCATTATTGACTATAAAAACATATGAATGTCACATGCTTCATAATTTAATAAAGCAGTGCAAAGAACAGCTTATCATATGCTAATCTATGACGACAACAGCTGCGTGGGAGGCAGAGCTGAAGGACTTTTTTTCATCTCCTTTGTGTAGGTCTGTTTCTCCATTGTTGACATTCCTCCGGGCACTGCTTGTGTGCAAACTTGTTGTGTGACTTGCGTCGCACTCTTAGCTTTTTTTGTCCTCTGATGAAGATCAAGAATCTCCGATCATCCTTTTCTCTAAAGCCCTTTTTCCCCCAAAGAAGTCTCTGGGAAACCCCTGTAGGCTAGCTTAAAAAGGACCATCCCATCGTTTTGGATACAATTTTCATTCATAGATTTTACTCCCCTAACTAGTAATTAAACTGTATGCATGTGGTCCATTTCTGTATTCTGCATTCTTCTTTTCAATCCTTATCTTTACCACCTCCATATGTAAATTTCCTTTAGCATTTTTGCCTATTTAGTATTTGGGTGAATTCATACCGAGTGCATTGGGGCTCCCCTGGTCATATTTTCCAGCACAGCCCCAACTCAAGACAAGTCAATTGTGCCAGTGTCTGGTGCCCGTTGCCCAGCACAGTGCTGATGCACCGATCCTGGCACATCGCACTGTGTAATTTTGTTTTCTTCTTTAGAACTTTATTGAAGTGTCAAAAGTGACATTTCATTAACATCTAAGGGCACAAGGTGCGAGACAGTTGTACCATGTCGGATCTTGCTGTGCTAAAAAAAAAAGTACTGCATGCAGTTTAGTTTTTGTTTTTTTCAGCGCACACCACCTCGTTACCACCACAACGTGGAGGTGGAAATGTTGCCTATTCGTGACAAGTTGAATTGCTTTTTCTTTCTTTGGGACAATGCAGCCCTTATGCATCTGGTGTGAATTCACCCTAAATAATGCTAAGTAAAGAGGTCAGTTAGAAGGTAACCCAGAGTGCAAGGGACATGAGTAAGTAACGCTTAGTTTAGAGGTCAGCAGCATCTAAGTCAGAGTGCAGGTGTCAGGAGTAAGTAGTGCAAAGTACAGGGATCAGTAGTAAGTAGTGCAGGGGGTCAGGAATAGGTAATGAAGAGTTCATAGGTCAGTAGTATGTAACACATAGTGCAAGGGTTAGCAGTGTATGTTAAAACAAATGTTTTTTTTCCCTCACCACTGGCCATGAGCAATTAGGAATTTTGTGTACCCGATATCTTATAAAAATAGCTGTCACTTTTCATCCTACTGAATAAAAACTATCCTTCAACAAGGAGTTCACTTTCCTTCCATCCTGCACTTGCACATTCTCACCAGCTGGACTGTCCTGTTGTGCTCAAGTCACTGCCAACTAGTGGCTGCTATACATACTCCAGGAGGTGGGGCTGGGGCAGTTCTGTGTGTAAACAGAACCACCTGGTATGACTGAACAGTCGGAGGGAAAGAGTGAAATTCCAGGGCTGTCTGCCATGGCAGGGTTGCAATCTACAGATGGCTGCAATCGACCTGCTGCCAACGCGCACTCTATAGAACCTGACTTTATGGAAAATTGATGGAAAGCCATTGCTAAAGAAAAATCAAATCCCATTTGGCAGTTTGCAAGGCAAATATGTGGAAAAAGGTCTGATGAGACCAAAATGTAACTTTTTAGCCTTAACATAAAACACTATGTGGCAGAAAGCAAACACTGCTGATGACTCAAAACACCATCCCCATAGTGGATCATGGTGATAATAGCATCATATTGTGATAATGCTTTTGATCAGCAGGTACTTGGGAACTGCACAGGAGTAAAGGTTAGCTCGAGGAAGTCAAATAGAGCAGTTGTAGAATAAAACCTGCTTAAATGTGCAAGACTGAGACTGGGGTCGAGGTTCACCTTCCAGCAGGACAGTACAGATTTGTCCAAGAAGATCTAGAACTTGCAGTCAAATGTAGTTCTAGCAGATTTTAACAGGGTGAAGGGTTGCCTTAAGGTGCCCATACACCTTACAATTATCTGCAGATTTTCTGTGGTCTGATGGAAAAAGTGCAACAGATAGGCCCAGGTGGGATCACTCCATCCACACAGTTAAGTGTCGATGGAGGAATCTGTTGCACCTTTTCCATCCGACCACAGACAATCTGCAGATAATTGTAAGGTGTATGGCCAGCTTTAGATGTTCACTCTCTTGAAGAACTACAGTGGCTAAAGAATCTTCTGCATCTGATAACCTTCCTGCGGTACAGTAAACTAAAGTGATGTAGCAGCCAGCAGGTATAAACACAGTGCGCAGTGGTGGACCAGGCATATGACACACCCAGAAGTATGTTGGATGTTATAGGTTCTTCAGCTGATTTTGCTTTGCGAGAGAATGAAGAATTGAGGCACATGCAGCAGGACATGTAAATATTTTAGCTCTTTTACATTTCTTTTTTTTGTGTGCGACTCGAACAGCAAATACCCAAAATAAATGTTATTTCCACAATGTGGAAAGTGCAAATTGGTGTATACTTGTACAGAGTATTGTTTTTTCAGGTATGCTTGGAGATTTTAGTAAGTGACACTAAAAGGTTTTGTTACTTTGAAATGCTGCTCATTATTGACTATAAAAACATATGAATGTCACATGCTTCATAATTTAATAAAGCAGTGCAAAGAACAGCTTATCATATGCTAATCTAACTAGCTTTTTTGTAGTCAGCTCAGTAAAATATGTTTCCAGATTGGTTTCTATGCATATTGATGTTTGCCTTTTTCAATAAGCCTAATGGTGATGCCTTTAGAGACATTGCATGGTAGGTTTTGATGATGAAACCAGATAGTTCTTTTAGTTTGCAGTCAGCCAATTCTTTTTATTGTATGGCTGGGACTCTTGTGTTGTCAATCCACGAGAGGTTTTAGTCTTTTGTTATGAATAGGCATTTGGTTGTCTATTTTACCTTTTCCTCTCTTAATAGATCTATCTGCTGACAAGCCTAGGGCTTTCAGCTGCAGGTTTACTACAAGCTCTGTGATAGTAGCACTCTGCAACTAGTGGTTAAAGTATTATGGCTCTTAGTTCTGCCTAATCCTACAACTGTGTGTGACATTTTCACTTCTACCTTCTGTCTATTGAATGGAAATGGATACCTATAAAAGACAGTGCTTCTTTTTTTTTTTGCTCTTTCTGTCTAAATTGTATATACCCCTTAACTACCGGTACAAGTTGTCCCCTGCTACTTTGAGATAATTAGTACCATGTACTAGAGATATATGTATCAAACATTATTATTTGAATCTGAACTAATGGGCTTAGTAGTAAAAAGTGTGACGGAGGAAACAACATGGCCTAGCCAAGAAAACATGCAAGGTGTTCATTTTGTATAAACCTCTTATAACACAAAAAAAAATCAGAACTGTAATGTACATGCACCAGGAGGCCTGTTCCAATTAAAATGTGTTTTCCTTTGAAATGAACAGTAGACCACTAGATGGACTCCACAGAGCTCTATTTTATCTACAGCTAAGGTTGTATTGCCAAGTACTTGTGAAACAAAGGAAATAGAGACCTATCTAAGAAGTATTAAGCTGAAAAGCAGTGCACTGTACATGCACCAGAAGGCTCCTTCCGGTTAAAAAGGGTTTTCCCTTGAAATTAACAAGACACCTAGTTTGACTCCTTAGACCCCCACTACACGCACACACACCTACACCTTACATTGTGTTAATGGATCAAGGTGTTCTGGTCACATTTTATAAAACCCCTAGAGCTCCACTACATTTAAAGTTGAGGTTGTGTTTCCCAGTCGTTGCAAAACAAAAAGAGATGGAGACCTCTAAAGCAGGAGAGCACTTTAAGATTAAAATGGAAACCCTCATTTTGAATGATCATGTCTGTAATTTAAAAGTCACATGGGCTGCCTAGTAATTTCTGTAGATGGCCTCAAGCAGCCCTTGGATACTTGGAGCAGTAGGCACAGACTCACTTTACCCAGCAAGGAGTTCAATTTGTTTAACCCAAAAACAACTATGTGATCATCTTTATTACTACTCATTATGTAACTCTAACATAATATCAACATTTTCCTGTAAATGAATTGTATTTGCCTATGCCAAACCAAATAATTGCTTAAATTGTAACTAACCGTTCTTTTTTTTTTTATATTTGCAGTGTGACAGCGAAAGTGATATCGACGATAAGGTAAAGTTGGACTTAATTCTGTGTATTTATTGTAGATAAAATAGAGGCCATTTGTTAAACTTGTACAGGCTGAAAACCAATCTGTTTCTGGACAGTGTGTGTTTATCCAAGGCAGGGATTTCTTCTGAAGTGGCTAAAATATATAATCCAAACTGACATCCATTTTACTGTTTAATAATTGGCAAAATTGCACATTATAGTACAAAAACGTTTTTAACCTGGGTAGGTTTTATATAGTGCTATTTCTGCATTGTGATCTGAAGCGTGTTGTATTGAATTAGAAAACATTATGAAAAAAACATGCTGGAATAGGCTGTCTAGAAATCCCCATATTTCCCAGCATTGCTCTGTATGGTGGGGGGGGGGGGGTTACATCTTATAAAAGCACTAACTTTTGTGTATGTGCACACTATTCTATATTCTGAAATGATCTATAATGAAACGGTCTACAATGAAACTGAAATGGTCTACAATGAAACTGTACCCTTTTGTGAGACCCAGAAGCAGCAAGATTTCGGGTATGGTGGGCTAACCTGTAAATATGGGATATATCTTGACATTATGTACCTCTCTGGATAGAGTATTCTACTTGTCTCCCCATTTTTTTAAACTTTTCTAAAACAGACTAGCAATACTGTGCCCAGCAAAGAGGGGGAGGGTGGATTAGATCTGCACAGTTGTAGAGGGAAATGGGTAGGGAAATATTTAGAAAATGTTGTTTGAAAATGTCCTTATGCTTTAGGCTCAGTTTACACTTGCGCTACAGTAATTAACTAATTAATTCTTACCCTGCATGACACCCTGCTAACAGACATGAACTGCAGCTCACCACAACACACAGTAACAAACTACTGTACTTTTGTGGTGTGCTGTGTTACAAGAAATAGTACATGCATGTGTGATTTGGTGCGGTAGGCAGCCCATTGGAGCCCACTGCACCTCTGACTCTGAACATTCTAGCTCTCTTGGCACTGTACCCCAACACCCCAAACACTGCACATTTCTGTCAGCTAGCACCCTCCTACAACCCAGCCATTCTGCCACTGCATACTCCAACACTGCTCCCCTGTCCCTGTCCCCACATTGTCACCTTTGCAGGGAGAGGAAGAGAGGAGAAAAGGCAGAGCCTGGAGTTCCTGGGCTGTCTGCCCACTTCCTGCCCAGTGCAGCCTGTATCATCCAGTCTGTGCCCTGGGAGGGTGCTGTGTGTATTCTTGTGGAAGGGGGAGAAGGTGCACTCCTCCAGGCTGAGAGGTGGAATGAGATGTTATTATAAACCTACTTACCACCTCATTATTATTGAACCCTTACAATGAGACAGTCATCTTGTAGCAACCAAACCTCTAAATGTATCCTTTGTTTTATTTCTAGGTAAGTGTTTAATTTGAAATAAAATACCACTACTTATCACTCCTCCCTCCTAAACCTTTGAACCCTCTAATATTTTTATGAACATGAAATCTATATATCAGGCTGAAACTAAGAGGGAAACGAAAACTCAATTTTACTTCCTGTATTCTTCTTTTACAATAAGTATAGAATCTTACTATTGGTATACAGTTGTACAGTAAGGCACTGGAGCTCACTGAGGTCATAGTTACCTTTTGGTCTAGCATCGTTGTTGCTACCTAATGTTTCCTTGATTCATTTAAAATACATTCTTGCTCTTTTATATTCTGACACTTATAGGTCTTTGTCTGTTTCAGGCTTATTACAGGCAAAGTGTAAAGTGCAGTAAGCCATAGCAACCAATTAGCAATGATCTTTTATTGTTCGGACTTCTCAAGCAGAAAAGGTGATTTTGAGATTGCTTGCTATGGGTTGCCGCAGTCTGCTTACCTGTGTTTTGCACTGTCGCTTTATATAAGCCTGTCTGTGTTAATTTGTGACTTTTCATGCTGTTTTAATTTAGCACTTTACTGAACCAATGTGCCTACTTATGCCTAGTTGGACAACATGTCGCTATTAGACTGAGAATCACTTTTTCTTTATATATTTTCAGGTTGCTAGCATTATGGTACTTAAAAGCTAATTCCAGAATGTTACATAAAGATTATAAAAAGAAAATGGCAGCACACCAGTTATTTACAGGTGTTTTTTTGCTGGGCGAAATACATCTTGAAAAACCAAGAGCCTCAAACATAGCTGATGTTTTTTCCTCCCTTTATACTTCTGGGGTTAAAACCTTTTTTCACAATTGAATAGACTAAAAGCAATTGCTCAGAAGGCTGTTTAAAAGATATGCCTGTCAGAGTTGAGATGAAGTTGTAAGTGGCATGTAGTTTTATAATACAGCTCTGCTATTAATGATTGTCTAAATTACAGCGGCAGGCCCAGCCAGCTGCATTACATTGGAGACTGACGTCCGCTAGATTAGGTTTGACTTCACCTTGTAGCGGAGAAATTGAAATCTGAACAACATTGATTAGCTTTCAGAATGCGAGATCGGAGGTTACCTTCAGGGGAGGCTGCATTGTGTGTGACTGGTAAGTCTGTGTCACAAGCAGAGCACAAGGTAATAGAATTCCATATTGTGATTACTCTATTTCCTTGCCTTTCTGCTCTGCAGTTGTAGAGTTTCTCTCCATAGCGATCTGTATTGGGCTTCCGTCAAGCTTGTATTTGCTAACACTGAAGCCTTTTCATTCACATTGCACTACATGTGTACTCTTAGGATTGGAAGCCCGATGTAAGTCTATGGGTGGGTACCCCCAGCCCTGGCCAGGTCCGGAAAAACAAACGGATCAGAGTTCCACTTCAACAGACCTACCTAACCGTGCCAGATCAAAGGTAATCTGATGTAAATGAACACATGATGTTTACATCGATTCCTCATAGACCGACATTGGTTCGGTAAGTTCATTTTTTTTCCTCATCGCAAGATGGAGGAGAAAACTGGACAGACACAGATGTCACAACGGTGAAATCCAGTCAATCAGTAGGAGTTTCCTGCATGGATCCCTGAGGATCCCTGAAGGCGCCCATCTGAAAGGGGCATAAAGTAAAGCTGTCATTAGAAAGAAAAAAGATAACATTTCTACCATTCGTTTCTAGCAAACTTTCTTCTCTTTGCTAATCCATAAGGTTGGGCCCCCCCCCCCCACCTTCTGATGGGCACACATCTTAGAGACCTAGAGATAGGTGTGCCCAGTGTTTTGAATAAGAGTGTATTCAAAGTTTATTACAGTACAATACATTTAAAGTATTTACTTCAGAAAGGTGCATAGATGTATATCAGTATCACATGTGATAGATGGTAATATTTTAACTTTGTCCAGAGAGGTCGGACTAGGACAAAGTGAGAAGTACCCATTGTATAGTTGGATTCGGCGCATGTCTGAGACAAAATTTGCACACTTAGCACTAGGGGTCGACCAATTATCGGATCTACCTATAATCGGGACCGATATTTACAGTTTTCCTAATTATCAGTTTTAAAGTGACCGATATTACAGATAAACACTGTGCAAATTTCAGCCTGTTCTTGAGGAACCGGCTGAAATTTGCACAATGGGTACCACTCTCTTGGCGGCACAATGGGTACCACTCTCAGCTGATCGAAGGAGCCAGTCAGAAGCTGGCAGCCATTGAGCTGCCAGCCCTGTTCGAGTATTTTGACATCCGATATCAGGAGAAGCAACAGCTAGCTATTAATTCCAATGCTATCTGTTGCTTTATTTTTTTTCTTTAATCTGGCAGCTGCTGTCAAACTACATTTTAACAAAACAGATGGCAGGGGAATCGGCAGATAGCAGGGGAGCTAATGCTTCCACTGCTTGCTGATGTTTTTTCTTTGTATTCTGATAGCAGCGCTGTCAAAATACGAAAACAGGGAATCGGCCGATATCAGGCGACTGCCTGCTGTTTAAAATAGAATATCGGTACCTGATATCGGTTACCGGCCTGAAATGTGGTCAATAATCGGTATCTGTATCGAAAAATCTATATTGATGGATTCCTACTTAGCACATCCATGTTTAGAAGCACTGGGTATACAGAAAGAAGATTTGCTATGTACTGAAGCTATATAAAGCCACCATGTAATTTTTCTAATGGCAGTTGCACTTTTAAACTATGAATAATATGGACTGATTTACTAAGGGGCACTACTGACTGGCCCTATTTTTCTATCCTGGTGTAGTTCACCAGTGCCTAGCTGCCCTGCTAGCTTAAATCTCTATAGTTAAGGCTATCATCTTCTTAATGACCATAAACCTCGGACTACGGAAACAGAGGTTTGTGCTTGGTTCAACTCCATTCTCTTTATGAGGTCTCTGCACCTTCATATACACATGGTGGAGCAAGGCTGGCAAGTTGATAGGTCTCAGCTCACAGCAGCAATCGGAGGCTTCAATAGCTCTAGCTACACTGGAATTCTTGTTGTGAGACAGTATGTTTAAAAGTGAAAGATTTATTAAGTTGTTGTCAAGGCTTCTGTGCCACTTGCAAAAATGGCAAAACAGGTTATGTGAAAGCTTAGAATAGATTTGTTAGTAGTAAAGCATTCCATGAATGTTCTGAAAGTCTGTTTTTGGACACTAAGACAAATATAGAAAATCAGAAGGCTGAATGTTGTAAATAATTGTACTTCCCTCAGCCGCAAAGTGCATGTGTATAAACAGTCACAACAGTTAATTTTGAAGAATTATTATTTCTTGGTGCCTTACAAAATTCTGTCTTATTTTAGCGCTGCTGTTTAATTTTTTTAGTGCCAAATAAGTTCAAAGGGCTTGTTTGATTTGCCTTGAACAGGGTACCCAAACTCCTTGTGTTCGGGTTACGTTAGAGTCTTGTAGTTCCCGTTGCAGGGGATCTAGAATTGGTATGGCGCACACAATACAGCTTTGTTGATATGATTACAGGTGAGAGAACGGTTACAGAATACCAACCACATCCATATTCTGCAGTCATCTAGAGCTCAGGAACATTTTACTAAATTGAAGAGGCTTTAGAATGTGTCTTGCTGAGATGCATTGCGATTCTTTTCTACCATTTCAGCC